ATATATATATATATATATATATATATATATACGGCAGGCGGCTATCGCTTGTCAATAATAATAATATATAATAATATGCTGAATATATTAAAATGCATATATATATTAAATGCATATATTATAACTGAGAGAATTAAACTCATTTAAATTACTTTGTTTTGTGCTGAGCTGTCTATGCAATTCGTTGTTAACTTAGCGACGGCGTTCTGCTGCTTTTTCTCGTTGTTATTTTTCTGTTTCTTTATTATTATTTATTTGTTTGTTTTTCTTTTTTACTGTACTTTTCTTGTTTGTTTTTATTTATTTATTTCTCACCTGGGTAGATGTTAAAACGCTGCAATGCATTTATAACGTCAGGGTGTTCAGAGCGTCGATCTCGCCTGTAAAAAGGAGGAAAAAAACAAAGAAATAAGATGGAACAACAAAAGAATAATTGAAGAGAGATAGACAGATAAAGACATTCAAAATAGCTGAAGCAAACAAACAAAAATTTAAAGAAAAAAAAGCAGCTTACATGAGCGAAGATACTGCCTCTGTCCAGGTCGGCGCCCGCACTGTATCAAGGTAAAAGGAGTAATACATCGCATTCTAAAAGCAAACAAAACACCAAAAGAAAAAGACAAAATAAACGTAGATAACTAATGCAAGCATAATGCTAATAAAGCAGCACGCGCATGCATTCACAGTTAGTGCCACTGTCTATTGATCGTTACTCATTTTGTAACACCGTCAATCCATAGAAAGACAAAAATGAATATCAACCGACTTCTGAAAAAAGAGTCAGCGGCTGTTCTGCTTCGTCCATCTCAAAAGTCAGTCGATATCGTCGCCAGAGGAAGAAAGTCATCAGACCCCTGAAAAAATAAAAAAGAATAAAAAACAGATCCAGAAAGCGAGAGAAAACACCGGAAATTCAGCTCTAGAATGTATAATATACAGCAGTATTCCTTCACTAGAGTTTTCGGGTTTAGGGTTTAGGGTTTAGGGTTTAGGATTTCGGTGTACGTACACCTGAATTATTCAAGTTGCGGTGGCAAACCAGACCGGTAGAAAGCTGAGAAAGCTGCAGCTCACCAGATAATAAAGCCGAAGAAGAAGGCGACTTTGGGGTTTAATGGATTTGAATGCAAAGATGCTGAGCTCAAAGCATTTAAAATCTTTGAATTAATTTTTTGAGTCTTTCCCCTTGGATTAAGGGCAGCAGAGCTGCCGACGTTAGGGCCTGCATCGTCATGCGCCATCTGCTCTTAGAGGAAACAAAAGAACAGACCGGTATATTTAAAGTTTAGAAAGGCAGAAAGAAAATTAATGAATGGATTTCACAGTCAAATGCATGGCTGGATCGCGACGCTCACGCAGTCGGCTGCAGAGAGGTGCCTATACACCTGAGCGCTGCGTATCAGGAAAGATCTTCTGAGTAAAGAACAGTCATTTATTTATTTGAACAATTAATAGAATGTATTCAAGACGAAAAAGAATAACACGAGACCCGCCGTCTTCACACAATATGCAAGGCCCTGGGGGAGCTGGGAGCTGGAAGACTAAGAGGTAGACGGTTTGAGCCTTTGCTTTTCCGAGACAACTTAAAGAGTAAGAATAAATACAATAATAAATAACAATTTCTCTAAATTTAAAGTTAAACAACAAAATAATTACAGCTGACGACACCCGTCTGAGCGGGCCCCACGGTGGCTTTCTGCGGTTTTCTTCTGCTGAAGAGGGCTGATAAAAGGAGTTATTATAAGGTAATAAGTTGTTGCAGTGGAATCAGAAATACTTTTTATGCTATTAAGAAGAAAAATATAAATAAAAATACTTTAATTGATGCATTTAATTTGCAGTTAAGTTTCATCGATTTCATTACGGTGAGACGACAGTTGGCTTTTGCTGTCTTATTTTCCCTTTGCCTCTATTTCTCTCCAACTGCATTATTATTAATAATTACTTTTTTTTCTTTTTTTTGTTCTCTCGCTGCAGTAAACAATGACGCATCCTTCAGCCCCTGACAGCAGCAGCAGCAGCAGCTGCAGCAGCAGCAGCAGCAAAACGATAGGGGATAAGTATAATTTCTCTTGGCAGCAAACAATGTTAAGAATTAAAGACCCAAAGATCTCAGTGCCATTTTATGAAAAACACTTTGGAATGAAATTGGTGAGTCAGTAGTAGCTGCACGCTTCCTGAGGTGTATAGGCAGCTTCGCTTTATATAACGAGGTGTTAATTAGTTTAAATAGAATTAAAAAAGAATTTCAAAGTCATTTTCAAAGAATTGCAAATAAAGGTGCTTGTTAATTTGGAGTGTATAGGGAGGTGCGATAGAAGACAACGTCTCTGTTATTCTTTTCTTTAGATATTTTTCTGTGAATGTTTGTTTTATTTTTTTAAATATATTTTCTCTGTTAATTATTAATTATTATTGTTTATTTGTTACTTATTTGTTTATGTGTGTTTGCTTTCTTTTTTCTATTAAAGCTCGTTTGTATTTGTTTATTCTTCTTGTCTTTCTTTTGTTTATTTGAATATTCTTCTTTTAGATTCATTTCTATCATTTTAATGATGCAAAGTTTTCGCTATATTTCTTAGAAAGACCGCATGAAAACGCAGTGCTTCCAGCTGCCGGTACACCTGAATCAGAGAAATATCTCTGGAATATGAAGGTAAGAAATAATAATAATAATAATAATAATAATAATAATAATAATAAATAATAAATAATAATAATAATAAGCATAATTAATAAATGTAATTAGTATATTATATTATATGAATTAATTAGAGGATTACCTGTGGAGTACGATGTTAGGAAATGATTACATAATAATATAATAAAGACAATTAATAAATTGAATTTGAGAAGTTTGTTTTTGTGTATTTTCTTTTTATTTTCTTAAGGGGGTTTGTTTGGAGTTAACGCACAACCATGGAAGCGAAGACGACGCAAACTTTTGCATAAATAACGGGAATGAAGAGCCGCACAGAGGCTTCGGGCACATTGCATTTAATTGTGATGATGTTGTGAAAGCATCAGAAGATCTTGAGAAGGAAGGGTGAATATAAATAATATAGTTTTTTCGTGAATTGTTTCGATGTCTTTAACTCTGTCTGCTGCTCTATTAAAACAGTTCCTTCCTCCTTCTGCTTTGTTTTGTCATTTTGTTTTAAATTTATTATTTTATTGCATGCGGTGTTATTTGAAGTGATATTTCTTCGTTAAGTTGTATTGACGCTCGTTTAAAATAAATAGCTTAGCGAATATGTTGTGATTGCTGCTGCTTCTTTTTGAGTGTATTTGTTTGCTATTGTTTGTTTGTTTCTTTGTCTTTGTTTGCCTTTGTTTAGTGTAGCATTTCAAAAGAAGCCTCATGAAGGAAAGATGAAGACAATTGCATTTGCAAAGGACCCTGATGGCTACTGGATTGAGCTGTGTAATCGCAGTAAAAATGCAGAAATAAAGGAGAAATTCAACCTCTCTCAAACTATGATTAGAGTTAAAGACCCTCAAAAGTCGCTGGCTTTCTATCGCGATCTCCTTGGAATGAAACTTGTCATGAAAAAAATACATGACAGTTTCACTGTCTACTTCTTAACGCACTTAGAACCCGGTGCTCAGCCTCCAGAAAACATCGAAGTGCGCTTTGATATATATATATATATGTGCGTCTAATATATATATATATATAATATATATGTATAAATATATATCTATATAACGCCCATCTTGACTACGGCTTTGTGTAATATATGTATATATATATATATATATTGTATATATATATATATAGTATATATAATATTAGATGTATACCTATATGTATTATGCTGTGTTATATAATATAAATATCATTTAACATTATTATGACGGGCAAATGGTATCGAAGTAGGGCATGAAAATATACAAAAATATATTTGCATTGATAAACTGCAAATGTTTCGATTGAAGACGATGTTCGTAAGATTCATCGGCATTTATCTTTCTTGAATCCGTATATATATTATATATATATATATTGATGTACATGCATAATTAGTTATTTCTCTGATCTTCTTTTCATTTGAGTATTGAAGTATGTGTTTGTTTGTTAATATATGTTGTATTATTAGAGCGATGAAGCACGAGAGTTCGTGAAGCAGCGTTGGGCTCCGTTATTAGAGTTAACGCACAACCACGGGACAGAAAAAGACGAAAATTTCAAATATCACAACGGCAATGATCAGCCCCAGGGCTTCGGCCACATTGGCATGCTCTGCGATAACTTAGAGAAAGCATGCGAAGACCTTGAAGCTGCAGGCGTCAAATTCAGGAAGAGACCCCAGGTAAGAAAAATAATAAATCAAACAATAACAATCAATAATAAACAACAACAACAAGAAGAACAACAGCAAGAACAAGAGAGAGGAGAACCAGAAGTACATGTATATATGCATATATGTATATATATATATATATGTGCGTGGATGCATGCATGTGCATGCATGCATCCACTACCGTCTAAAGAATTGCCTTGTGTATATTTGATAAATAGGTATACATGTGTTTGTTTAATAGGTGAATTATGAATTGATTTCGATTTTCTGCATTTGTTTGCAGGATGGAAAGATGAGAGGACTTGCCTTTGTTCTGGATCCCGATGGATACAGCGTTGAGTTAATTAACAGAGGAGTTACGTTTTAACTCTAATATACATATATATATATATATGTATATATATATATATTATATATATATGTATGTTGTTGCTATTATATAAGACATTCTGCATATGCACATGTTTGTATATATACATGTATACATGTATGTGTGCATGCATTGGTTATAATTATGCTTTGTTTCTGCGTGTATAGTATTTTCTACAATATTATATCTATAATATATCTATTATAATGCTATTACAAATATCATATATGTTTTACTGATGCAACTATAAAAGACAAAACACTAGGTTTTCTTCTTCTTGTATTTATCAACTTCTTCTTTTCCTTCTGAGTATAGAAATGCCCAGTGAGGCATTTATTAATAAATTCGAATTTATATTTATTAAATTTTTGCTCGAAGTTTTGTGCTGAGCACTTTGATGTTTGGTTGGAGTTTTATTACGGTTAGGGTGTGCAGTACTGATTTCTCGTAGACATTTAAACGAAGAGGATATTGATAAAGAAATAAATATAATAATTATTATCATTAATGTAAGAGTGAAATTACTACTAATTTGTACTCCAGTAAAAGAATATAAATAACAGCTAAGACGCAAATAATTGCAGGAAGTTAGCGAAAGGTTTAGAAGAAAAGATACAAACAAATTTGCAAAATATTCATTGCAGATATTTTTTAATTAATTAATAATTTAAATGAAAAGGCAGAAACAAAAGCCTTGAGCCGAGTTCAACTAACTGATTGCAGCATTCTCGAACAGAGACACTCCCATTAATTAATTAATTAATTAGATAATTAACTAATTAGTTAGTTAATTATTTTAAATTAAGAATAAAAAGAGTAAAGATTGTCTTTCTTCGCGCTTGCTGCAACGAGTTGGTTGAACTCAGCTCGAGGCGTTCGTTTATCGCTCTTCATTTATTTTCTCTCTTTGCTCTTCACCGTCTTTTTATTAATACAACTAATTGCTTTTTATCTAGCATAGTTATATATATATATATGTGTGTGTGTGTGTGTTCTTATTTCCCTTCCTTATCAGTTATTTGTTAATTATATTCTTGTGGAGCTGTCTTCGCTACTATTTGTTTTACTTATTTATTTATTTATTTTTATTGAATTGTTTTTGCTATCGTTTGTTTATCCTCTAGCCAACTGATATATGTGCAGTAATAATCAGCGAGTTTAACGGGGAGTGAAATGTTATAAACAATTTTTGCTTCACTTTACGTTGAAGAACCTGAAAACAATCAATTTAAACTTAAAGAAAAACAAAACAAAACAAAACAAATAAATAATTTATTTTTACAACACTCACCAAGCAAATGATATCCAACAGCGAGGCCTCCGTAGAATCCTCTGCGCGCTGCAAATTCAAAATAAAGAAAAGAATACAATATTCCTTGTCTTCCAGTGGTTTAGGGTTTAGGGTCTTCTAGGGTTTAGGGTTTTAAGGGTTTAGGGCTTTTTAGGGTCTAGAGTCTTCTAGGGTTTAGAGAATTTGGGGTTTAGGGCTTCTAGGGTTTATGGTCTTCTAGGGTTTAGGTTCGTATAGGGTTTAGGGTTTCTAGGGTTAATGGTCTTCTAGGGTTTAGGGTCTTTTAGGGTTTAGGGTTTAGGGTTTAGGGTTTGGATGAAGAAAAAGGAAGTACCTTCGCGTGCCTTTTCCAAGGGCCTCAGTTTTCTCTTAATTGAAATAAGAGGGGGGCATGAATGACTCAATTGAAGCAGAATAAAGCGAAGAAGACGAAGAAAACAAATACTTACAGCTTCCTCTTCTTCTTCTGCAATCAGCTTTGTCTTTACAGGAGGCGCTGCAGGTGCTGCTTTTACTGCTTGTATTTTCACTATCCTTGAGAAAGGTAAAAAGCGAGTTAATTTTTTTGGGAATATTTCCCCCGTCTCTGAAATCTAGGGTTTAGGGTCTTTTAGGTTCTTATAGGGTATAGGGTTTCTAGAGTTTATGGTCTTCTAGGGTTTAGGGTCTTTTAGGGTTTAGGGTTTAGGGTTTAGGGTTTGGATGAAGAAAAAGGAAGTACCTTCGCGTGCCTTTTCCATGGGCCTCAGTTTTCTCTTAATTGAAATAAGAGGGGGGCATGAATGACTCAATTGAAGCAGAATAAAGCGAAGAAGACGAAGAAAACAAATACTTACAGCTTCCTCTTCTTCTTCTGCAATCAGCTTTGTCTTTACAGGAGGCGCTGCAGGTGCTGCTTTTACTGCTTGTATTTTCACTATCCTTGAGAAAGGTAAAAAGCGAGTTAATTTTTTTGGGAATATTTCCCCCGTCTCTGAAATTAGGTATTGAAATATTACATTATTTGAATTGTTTTATTATTTGAATTGTTTTATTATTTGAAACATTTCATTATTTGAAGTACTTTACTCGAAATATTTTATTATTTGAAATATTTTATTATTTGAAGTATTTTCAATTTCAAATAGCTTTTTATTCTCCCCGAACAAATCGCGAACATTCAAGTGCATTTCAACTCACCATGCTTCACTGGGCCCCTCTTTCCAACCTCCCTGAAGAGATTTACAAGGAATATATTTATTTTGTTATGTGCATGCAGCAGATAAAGCAATTGTAGGAAATCATAATATGCTTATAATATGCAGAGAAACAGATATATGCATTCTAACCTGCGATCTGTTACTGGAGTTGGCGGACTGTGTTGAAATGTTCATTGAAGTTCAAAGAGGAGAAAGGAAGAAAACCAGAAATAATAAACAAATCGTTTTAATTTATGCTTACCGCGGGCCTTGTCCAGCTACTGCATGCACCCCATTCAAGCAAAAGCAAAGAAAGCAAATAAATGAGTTTATGAAAATTATTATTCGAGTATATTGATGCCGCACGTATTGGTATTCTTGCAGTGGTTGAGATAACTCCTTTTCTGGTGGAAAACAAGCAAATAAATAAACAAAAAAATAGGTGTATATATATATATATGCGTATGTATAACAAGGGTGCTGATATTGCATGCCAGTTGGTAGTTGCACTAAAACATTAATTAAATTAAATGCGATTTCCTCACTCTTTTTCTCGCTCAAGTTCAACACAGGGCCTGCAAAGGAATACAATGCAAATATTTATTTATTTGCTTTATGCTTAATTTATTATGTGTAGATCTATATATCTATATACGCGATGTTGCGGCATGCATTCATGCAATGTATATACATATATATATACATATATATATGTATATATATATATATATTAGTATGTTGCGTACATCAATCTGCGCAACATGATGTGCACTGCATGCATCTGGTATTATTATTATATTTATTAGTATTTTAATTATTTATTATTATTGTTAGTTATTATTACAATGCGTTCACCAATCAAACTCAATAAATGAATTGTTTTTCTTACCACTTCAAGTTGCACATGGAAGCGAATTTTCTTTTCTCTGCCTCGGATTGAAAATTTTGTCTGTCTCCACATTCGGGGGAAGCACCATCAGGGGATTCGCATGCAGCCCCCTAAAGAAAGGGTTTGCAAGAAGAAAGCAGATGAATTAAACCAAATAAATAAATAAAAGAAATAAACAAAACCTCATAAGTGTAGTATAGAAAGACGCACAAACCAATTCTTTTCTGTTGTCATCTGTGCAAGGGTTTTCCCAGTTGCAGGGAAGGCATTCCATCCTGTTTAAACAGCAGTTTATTAAAAGTTAATTTTGTTTATTTGTTTTATTTATTTTGTTGTTTTCTTTAGGCTTACCGACAGGGCAAGGAAGATCCCAATTAACCGCGCAAGCATCCAGAGCTGCAACGGGTGTTTTTGTTTGATTTTATTTTATTATTTATATGTTTCTGAAACTTTTTTTCTTCATTTGTTCTTAAATTATTCACCTTCGCACGGCCAGTTGACGCGGCACTCCCTGTACAATCCCCGAGAGATGCATTCGAAAAATTTAAAGAGCAAATGCAATTTTATTTTTAATGAATTCATTGTTTGCCTCAGCAAATTTAGTTTATTAATTTTAATTTAATTTAATTCAATTTAATTTAATTTCCCTTAACTTGTTTTGATGCAGTGGATATTTGCTCTATCCTATGAATTTATTTTAATTTATAAGAACGTCTGATATGTTGTGTGTGTGATGTATTTACACATATATACAATTTATTGTATTGTATATATATAATATATCGCTTATGTATATATATATATATATAATATACAGATATCATTTAGTTTGAATCAGTTACCTCTCGAATTGTTTCTTTTCCGAAAGCGTCATCAGCGCAAAAGAGGCCCTGTTTATATTGCATGCAGTGGGGTCGTCTCTTGGGGCTTTGCATGCACTTTTTTGTTCTTCTATCCAGCCTAAAGCAATTGTTATTAAATCGATTTCAATTACAGGAACAACCAATTAAACTTAAAATACAATATACTTTACTACACTAAGGCAAAGCATAACTTCGTCTGGTAAGATAATATATCACAATTCTTTATTATTACTATGCATTTTTTTTCATATTTCTCTGTTTTTACCCTTAGGACAAGGAGCTGTATAGTCTTTCTTGCAAGTGTTCTCGCAGGGGAAGCGGGCTTGGCAAGCTTTCTCGAACTCTTTTTTCATTTCTTTCGTGAAGTACTGCGAATCAAATGTTTATAAATATTAATTACGTGTATTTTTTTAACAACATTTTCGAACAATGCAGAAATACCCGGAAGTTCCAACGCCCTTCGCACCGGTTTGTTGCGGTGTATGCTGAGGGAGCTCTACACCACAACTCTTCTTCTTCTTCCCTGTTGAATAAACAGGTTTGTGTTTTATTCATTTTAATGCTTTCAAGCGCCTACAAAGAAGCCCTTACCATCCTTGTGGGCAGACAGCATCGTAAGCCGCCTTGTGAAGTAAGCAGAGAAAGTAAGAGAATAAATAAGCTTTAACTTGATTTGCAATTCCTCTTAAAACCTTTCTGCTATTCCCTCTTCTCCACTGTTACTGTAGACGCACCACACAATCCTCTTCACACGGCCAGAAGGCGCCGCATGTCAAAACGTCAAATATCTTCTCAGCGTACACTCCACGAATTTTTTGCTGCGTCGCTGAAACCGCTAAAATTCGCCACGAGAGGGCACATGCCCGAGTAGCTGCCTGGGACTGCAAAGAAAACACAAATAATAATAATAATAATAATAATAATAATAATAATAATAGTAGCTGCCTGGGACTGCAAAGAAAACACAAATAATAATAATAATAATAATAATAATAATAATAATAATAATAATCGCAATACGTATAATTATTAATAAGGATAATAATAATGGTGAACCCTGCAGTACGCATGCAAATACATGCAAAAGATTTGTGCAGGGATATTGACGCTACAATGACTATCAAGGCTGAGTAAACAAACAGACAAACAAACAAACAAGCAAACAGAGAATGATATGAGTGCATGCAAGTGTACGGACTCGCTTCACAACTTTCTCCATCGGGTCGTAGCGCGAAGCCCTCAGGGCAAGGCAGCGTAAAATCTCTCACTCCTGTGCTGCATGCATGCGTTGCGTCTCCTTTACAGGGCCATTCAGCCTGCAAAACAAAGATATAACAAGAAGAAATGAAAAAGGAAGGGTAACAACATAGCACTTAAATTATGTTGTGCCGTACTTCGCAGCTGTTCGCCCAATCCGCTTTTCTAGAAAACATTGTGCATACACCTCGGCTGCTAGAGGAACATTTTTCTGTTTTGTTTACGCGTTTTCGGGGAAGAAATCAAACGACTTGGATCTCTCGCAATATCCTGATATGGCATCGAATATCTCTTTAGAGAAAAAAAACTCATTTAATGCTGTGACGAGCCTTTGTAGTCTCTGAAACCAAAGAAGGATGATGGATTGTACAGACCCAAAGACAATGCAATTACGTAGTTTCTTACTTCGGCGCGTCGCAGTACTGGGTGGAGGTCTCGCTGTCCGATCGCGGAAGCCACGACCGAGGGCAAGGCGCCCTGAGCACATTATACAGAAAAAATCAATAGTACACGACAAACAAGCCCGTTGTGATTATTGCATGCATACTGCATGCATACTGCATGCATACTACATGCATGCTTTGCTCAATACCCACGAGTAGTCCGGAACGCAGCCTCCAGCTTCCTTTGCTTCTTCAGCCGCCTAACGGCCAGCGATATTGGATGCGTTGCAACGGGTCCACTGCTTTCTTAAGAACTTTGCTTCACCTCTGATTCTGCCCTTTGCAATATTGAAGCCTCTAATTGCTGTTAAATGGAAAAATTGCTTTATTCTTTTGAGGGAAATTCAATGAGGGGAAGCCAAGCCCACTTGCTGCTGTGCTGGGGGCAATTTGTGAATTTTCCGTTCGAAGCTTTTGAGAAATGGGACTGCGGAATCCTAGAAAAAGGTTTAAAAGTAATTTCGGAAAGGAAGATGTGGCGTTCTCACAAGGGATTCAACTTCCTGTTCAAGTTTTTCCGTGCTGGGAAAGTCCGCTGGGGGCCACTGCTTGATGAGGCCCCCCGCAACAAAACACCAACAGGAGAAACAGGAGAAAATAAACGCAAAGCATAAAGGCATTTGCATTAACATGTTCATAGAGCGGATAATACCTCGCAGCAAGCACAACCCTAAAGGGTTTATTCAGAATGCAGGCAGCGTTCTGGCAGGAGATTTGGGGTGTCGATACACCTGAGACGATGGCGATGGTTTGACGGTGCGCTGAAACAGGAAATGTTTACATGTCTCGCAGACTGATAATAACTTAAGTCAATTGTTCCCCCTTTGTAAAAATACTTTTGCTGTTGTTTTCACCGACTACTTACACCATCAACCAGTTTTGCTTTCACTTCCACTAACGAGAACCCCACGCCACAGGCGCCGGTGAATGATCGGCTCTATGGCTCTGTTTTCCCTTCCATGGCATGGTCCTTGTTGGGAAATAAGCATATTTTTGTTTATTTTTGCATTTAACAATGAAGCATTAAGACCATAGGAAACTCACATTATTATGAAGACGATCCAGTCGACCCAATGTCTCCTTTTCCGCTAGTTACTGTGGAATACTTAATACACGCAAAACAAAGCCCTTCGAGGGCCCTATTTTGATCATTTCATTAACATTTAAACTTCTTTATTGTTATTTTTGTGATTATTTTGAGAAAGTGAGAAGTTTCGCACTTTCAAATCCCGTGGTCTCGATGCAATGGGCCACTGGGAACACCGTGGGGGCCCCAGGGCCCCCATCAAGGGGGCCCCTTGGGGGCCCGTGTCGAGCGCCTACTTCATCGATGTTTATTCCTGGAGGTTTGCGAAGAATGTAATAAAGTAAGCTGTTTTCGTGTTTGTTTCCTTTCATCATTCATGTATACACCTTTTGTTGAAAGGTCAGTATTATTACTGAATAGTTTTTGCTGATTTGATGCAGCAGACTTCCTCCAGGGGCGGTTGAGGCCCACTAAAATGGATGGAATAAAATGCAGCGCCATCCGTCGGCTGTCCGTCATTTTATGCCTTCTTTTATTTGTCGCCGTCTCCGCCCTTCTTCTTCCCCCCCCTTGGGTTTATCTGTGTTGGAGTATAACCAACAGCAGTCTGTAATCGGAGTTTATCAAGCTCAACAGGCTCCAGATGCAGCTTCCTTTGCTTTACTTCCTCGAAGCCGTGCTGCAGAAAGCAGCAGAAAGGGCTCCTCTTTGCAGGTGCGGGAGAGGGGGCCCCAACCACCGCTGCTGCGTCTTTGTCTAAGAAAGTCTAAAGAACTTTCTATGAAGCAGTCAGGATATTTAGTTCCAGGTGCGTGCACATCGGGCGGCTGTTCTTATTCAGCTGATCTCCGTTCTGACTGCAGACTCAGAAGCAACAGGTCGCTTCGTTGTTGTCTATTTCACTCTTCTTCTTCCTCTTCTGCTTCTTCTTCTTCTTCTTCCTCTTCTGCTTCTTCTTCTTCTTCTTCTTCTTCTTCTTCTTCTTCTTCTTCTTCTTCTTCTTCATCTTCATCTTCTGCTGCTGCTGCTGCATCTTCTGACTGCCCCCCAACTGGCCGCATGCCCGTCAGCAGCAGAGAAATAGCAGAAGACGGTTCCTCCTTCATATTTGATAGAAGTTTTTGTTCCAGCGAAAGCAACGGTATGTTTGTGGAGTACACCATAGAGTCTGTTAGAGAAGGTTTAAGGAGAAGAAAGGCAAAGGAGATGTCGCAGCAGCTAAATACAACTGCTTTCCCTCAATTCAACCTAAGGGATGATGAAGCTGATGCAGGAGAACAATATTCAAACAAAGAAGAAGAAGCAGGTGAAGCACCGTTTGCATATGATCCCCACTGCGTAGGCGCAGATGCAGCAGCAGCAACGAGAAGAAGAAGAAAGCGGCAGCAACGGCTGATGTTTAAAGCAATTGATGATTCTAATTTAGGAGAAGTTCAGCTGGATGAAGCAAACATACAACAAGTGCTTTATATCCTAGGAAGGGCTTGCTTCCTCTCCAGTGCCTCCATTAATCGTTCTCCTTATGAAGAAGCTGTACTTAATTCGGGTGTATGTACACTGCAACCTGAACAGTGGAAGGCGCTCTTCAAAACAATTAAAGAGCGCATTAATGAAATGGACCCTCTTGAAATAACACGCGCCTCTCAGGGATTGGCATATGCAAAGAAAGCGATGGATTCTGCTTCGAAGTCGCTCAATACTCAGGCTGCACAAACACCGGAGGTGCCTATACACCCCAACGCGTGGCTTTCTGCGCAAGACGAATGTAACGCAGCTTTTGAAGAAATTCAGCGCCACGTCGCCACAAATGTACATCTCTTTAAAGGTGATTGTCTCTCTCGAATCTTCTACGCCTCTCTTAAAGGAGGATTTAAGGAAAACGCCGGATTCATAGAATTCGCTTGCTCAGAGGGTACGCAGCTTGGATGTATTAACACCTAATGGGCTAGCTGGCTAGCTGTCTAAACACCTAGCTGGCTAGCTGTCTAAACACCTAGCTGGCTAGCTGTCTAAACACCTAGCTGACTGGCTGTGTATAGAGCTAGGTGGCTAGTTGTAAAAACAGCTAGCTGGTTAGCTGTGCGTCAAAGCGTCACATTCCTGTGTGGGAGTTGTCACTAGCAGATGCCGCTGGCGTTGAATATATATATATATATATATATATATATATATATATATATATATATATATATATATATATA